GGAACGTGGATACGGGCCGGTTTCCTCTGTAGTTTAAAGGGATGACCCCGCAGGATGATCAGTCCGAGCCAATTAGAAGAAATCATCAATGTGTAGTAATGCACATGTCGTCAGCAAGACGCCACAGAACTGCACACTTGCGACAATATATCTTGGGAGACCAAATACTTGAAACCGCGAGTGTGCAAAGGGACCTTGGTGTTCTTGTTAAAGACGACCCAAGTGTCACCACACAGTTCTCCAAAGCCGCAGCGAGAGCAATGCCGGTCATGAGCGCCATAAGAAGATACTTTCGGCTAAGTATATGGAACTTTCGTGCGGCTGCATCTGGAATATGCGATACAGGCTTGACGGCCTTGGCTTCAGAAAGACATAGGGATTCTTGAAGGTGTTCATAGGCGTTTTACTAAGGCGGTCCCTGAACTTAAACGGTTCACACACGAGCAACGTTTGACTGCTTTTAATCCCTTTCCCCTCCGTTATAGACAAGACAGAGGTGACCTTATAGCAAGGTTTCAGATACTAAGGGTAACTGGTCTGGATATCAAGTGGGAGGATCTCTTTCAAATGGTCATAAGAAGGAAACTCAGAAGACATGACTGCCAGCTGAAGAAGGAACTGAGCCGCACAAACCAACGTTTACCCTTCTTCTCTCAAAGGGTCATTCGACAGTGGAACTCCTTAGCAGGGTCTTTTTTGCATTCACCCACTCTGGATGTGTTCAAGAGGTGTCTGGATATTCATCTGTTAATACCCCACACTCACCTAACATAAATGACTACAACCAAGCATACTACTCGCTTGATTTCAATACAGTTTTTATTTACACTGAAGGTGTACAAACGAACATTTCATACAGAATATGCAGTGAAAGTTTTGTACCCTACCATTCCGCAAACGCCTCACCTTATCAACCATTCACGTTTCCAAAATAATTTTATGCACTTATCGCAGGGAGTTAAGTAAATTAAACACTGGCAATTGCGATCTTCAGACCATGGTTACTTAGTAGAGGAGAAGTCTTGGGAAGACCAGTGCTAGGAACAGTATAGTGTGTACACAAAGGAACGAATAATAGATAGAATAAGTTTGACTTGGGAGAACATGACCAGCCAGCAGAGCCAGCCCGGCCCAAATGGGGTCTTAGCAGCAGGCATGCAAGCGGCAGCGAGAACAGGTATTGTCTGGTTGCCTTGATGGTTATTGGCCGGACAGACTGCATCGACCTAGGCATGCCTGCGTCTTATTCGCCGCCGAAAGAGACCAGCTTTTGCGGCATCTGTGATTGGCTGTTGCAGAGGCCGCCTTCA